GAATGCTAAAGTATGTATTAAGTCTTTTAATACACATCTTTTATCATCTTGATTACTAAGAGCTACTTTGTTAACCTCTTTAGAATATATATCATGATTTTCACTTCTTATAATTTTCATAGATCTCATTTCTTTTTCACCAGTAAACAAACATTTAACATAGTCATCAAAATCTAATTTCTTTTTTATTACATTTTTCTTTATTCCCTTACACTTCTTTAATTCTTTTTCATCCTCAACTTTATAGCTATAAAGTTTTGGTCGCAACCCAACAAAATGTGTTATCTGTTTTCCAGCTACTTCATCTTTAAACATCCCTATTACTTTTTTATTAGCTCCTGTAATTATCCCAGAAGGATGATCTAATGGATAATCAGAAGTATCAAATTTATTTTTTACATCAAGAAATATATCTTTGTAAAAATCATTTGTTTTAATTTCATACATTAGACTGTCTGTGTCTGTAAACAATAACTCAGCTTTTTTTCCATATTTATTTTTGATGTAGTTATAATGAAAATCAAACATTAAAGATTTTGATAAATCTAAAATTGATTGACCCACATATACTGGTTTGTTAAAATACACTTCAGTATTTTTCATATGAACTGCAATAAGATTGCTATCAAATATTGTACATCTATCAAAATTTGGACGACTTGATAATTTGAGAGCTTTATTACGGTTATCAATAAGATGTATATTTTGTCTTTTTCGTATATTTTCTATTGTTTTACCAAATACACTATTATTCATTAGTTTAAAAAAATCTTTCTCAAAACTGTTAGCTGCTGTCTTTCGAAGTTCTGTATTTTTTCTAATATATGGTTCCATCCAAGGAGATTGGTAAAATAATATTCCTCTATGTACAGCAGTAATCTTAATACCCATTTCAAGATATTGTCTAAGATTTCGATAATGAACAACATAGTTTTTTCTGGGTTTAAAATGACATAATAGTTTTTCAACACCATTAACAATCATCTTCTCAGGCGCTAAAGGATAGTCATTATGTTTTTCCCATAGATGTTTAGGGTATTCCAAATCAACTTCAAATATATATCCTTTTTTTCCATTATTTGACATACTATGATTTGTTTTATCTAAAATTTTATATACCTTTTCCATTGTTATATCTTTCATCCATTTAAATCCATGAGTTGGAAGATTTTGAGTCATTGCCCACCCATAAAGATTGTTTGCATCCAAATATTGAATAAACGTTGATTTTTTTTTCAGGATTATAATTTTTCATATATTTATTATTTGCTTCTGCATATCGTTTTGATATATGTGTAATTCCACCACGAATGCCACGCTCAAACATCATTAACATATCATAGTCATGTAATAACTCTAAATTCTGACCTGTAGTTTTCAGACATGCATCCCAAGCCAACCCTGGAGATGTGTAGTAATGAGCTGGATCTAGCTTGTAATGTTTAAGACAAGTTGCTCTAAAGTTTTCAAATACATCTGCTAATAGTAGAACATCAGACTTTAGATATAAATCATGATAATCTTTAATTGTTTTACATCCAAATGTATTCCACACTTTTATTGCGTGTTGGTAATCTTCATCTGATATATCTTCATCATTAAGTTTTGAATAAAATTCTTCTTTTAGTGGTAAACATGTTTCGGATAATTTATCAAGTGATGAAACATAATCATAAGGATAAACTCCTTTTCTAGTTAATAGTGATGTATTTTTTTTAAATACATGTTTTGTATTATTAAAGTCATCTGATGATAAATTTGATACAAGATTGGCAAGTGATGTTTGAAGAAACTTAAATGAATCTAAAAATTTAATTTCAAAATTTATTGGTAAAACATCACCACTAATATGTTTAAATTCTCCAACTTTAATAAATTTAGAAAATGAAAGATATTTTTCTTCAGTAGATGGAATACAATCAAGTTTACCATCTATTTTAGCAAGTTGTTTTATAAACAAATGAGCATCATAACCCTGAAGATTGTGAAATATAACTCGTAGTATTCTTGGTTTTTTACACATAAGATTACATTTGTTATGTGCTGCTCCACGGTAATTACCTGTAAAATGACAATGATCTCTAACTTTATCATCCCCAATTCTTTACTACAAATATGACAATTAACTGCATCATTAAATTCTTTTTGTGTTTTTGGATTCATTACTAGAGGTTTTGGTCTACAATAAAAATCGTTATAAATTCCTTTAGTCAATTCTGTAAGTTTTTCTACAAATACTTTTGCTACATCTTCATCCTCTGAAGTTTTTGTATAAATGATTGGTTTAATTCTTTTACCAGCAATTCCCTTTGCATAAAAACAAAATCCTGATGGTTCATGTTTTTGATAGTTGTAATTATAAGAATCTTTAGGATCAGGACTACAACTATTCATTGGTTTAGTAAAACATTCAAAATCTGCATAAACAACAAAAGGAATAGGAAGTTGTCTATCATAATTTTTAAAATGTAAAGTTGTGTTTGGTTTTGGCATTTTTACAAATGCTGTTTTATTACTAGAACAATATTTGATGTGTTTATCTAATAATTCTGGTTTTGTAAAATGACAAAAACATCTCTTACAAATTTGTATTGGTTCATCTGTTCTTGAAGTAATTTGACTACGTATAAGGCGGGAAAAGTTTTTAATTAGTGAATAATGAAATTTACCATCTTCTTCATACAAAAATAAATCAATAGTATTTTTACAATCTTTCTTTACCTCTCTCAAAGGATAAATAGTCTTTTCATCTACAGAAAAAACATTTATTCCTGAAAGATCTGGATTAAGATTCTCAAATTTGGTAATGTCTTTTACTTTCATTGGAAAAGTAATTCCTTTAGTGTTAAGTGAAAATTCATACTTTTTTAAATCTGACAAACGACTATCATTCTTTTCTCTTGGATGAAGATAACGAAGTACTGACCAAAGAAAACATTTATCATCTTTATTTCGAATACTAACAATTGCTTTTTTTCTCATAATCCAATCTGGAAGAGGAATATAAGAAGAACCTTTCACTGGTTTAAATTCAGTTGTATGAATTTCTAGTTGTACAATTTCTTTAAAGTACCACCCACTACCATTTTCTTGATACGTAGATATACTTTCAATAATTTCTCTATAACTTTTACTAAGTAAATCTTTTACATCAGTTGAATTAAAATTATTAAATGTATTAGAATGAAAATATGATTTATCTTGAACTTTAAAAGTTAATTTACTATCACCTTGTATTTTTTCCTGTTTTTCCATAATACAATCTAAAACAAACCTTACTTTAGTATTTCGATGATTTCTAAGAAAATCTTTAATAACTTGTTTTTTATTTCTAAAGAACTGATAAGGTAAAATATCTGGTTCTCCCTTGATAATATATTTTTTAGCAAATTCACCTAAAGCTGATTTTTCTATTACAATTCCTTGCTCATATTCTTTTATAACTCTCTCAAGAGCTTTTCGTAAATAAGAAGGAGTATCTTTAGGAATTTTTTTATTTTTTATACATTCCTCAAAATAATCTTCAAATGTTTTTATCTTTTTAGAATGAGGTTTTAAAACAACTTGGGGTTTCTTTTTTATCTTTTTGGAATTTGGTGTTGAAACAACTTGGGGTTTCTTTTTTATAACTTTTCCTTGTTTAACTTTTTTTCTAAATTCTGTCAATTTTCTATATTTTTCAATCAATTTTCTCTTTTCTTCTAATTCCTTATAATCTTTCTTAAGTCCTTTTTTTTCTTGTGCTACAATTTTTTTTATTTCATCCAAAGACAAATTCTGAAGTTGTTTATCTGTAAAGTTTTGTTTAGACATGACTTACTATAATATTTTTATTTCTTTATTTCTTTAAATCAATTTTTATTTTCTGATTCAATATCACTACTTATTATACAGTAGTTAGTAAATGCTGACATCCCACTCACTCAGATTACATTTTTTTGTATTCTACATCTTCGAGCAATGAGAGCGATTACTTGTGAAAGAATGTAGCAATACGAATGAGTTTTGTGAAATGATTGAACTGAGTGAAATGAGTGAGCAAAGCGAACGAATTGAACGAAGCGAACGAATTGAACGAAACGAATGAGTTTTTGCGAAATGATTGAACAAGAGAGCGATGTTGCGAGATGAGGTAGAATACAAAAAATGTAATCTGGGTGAGTGGGATGGCAGCATTTACTAACTACTTGTTTCATGGAAAATTCCATTGTATCAAAGCTATAAACGTTAGAAAGAAAAATATAGTTCAAATGAGGCCTTTGACTGCTGAAATTAAAAATAATAATTAAATTCCGAGCAAGAGCATCATCAGGGATAAGAAAAGTATTTCGCATGGTAATATACATAAGAAAAAATATGGTGTAAAGTAAAATGTGTAAAAAGCGCGCAAGAATGGGGCGGAATGTATCAGAGGTATAAAAATATAAACTTGAATAAAATATAAAGATCTAATGAGCCAGTGTCACAGGACAAAGAGTGTCTTGAAAGGCATAATGATAGTGTTCAAACAAAAGGTCCGCAAATTCGTTGCATTCCTCACGGGAGTTTTGGGCTGTCTCAATGCAAATCGAGCAGCAAAAAACATGCTGGTTGACAAAATCTCTCGAAAGACATAAATAAATTCTAAAATATTAGGTCCGCAAATACGTTGTATTCCTCGCGGAAGGTGAGGACTGGCTCAATGTAAATCGACCTGCGAAGAACATGCTGGTTCTGATATAAGTTTTGAGAATATAACCCTATGCCTTGATCAACCACCGCTTAAAATTCAATTCACAAAGGAAAAGAGAACACTGAAAACCCTAGTTCTGAGTCGAGAAGCGAACACGCTACCTCAGTGTAAATAGCGCTGCAAAGAACAAGCTAGTTCTGACAAAAATTTGAGCGTAAAACCCTATTCCTTGATCAGCTGCTGCTTTAAACGCAATTTATAAAGCAAACCAGAGCACTTATTGCCCTTTCAAAATAGAAATCGTATTAAAGCTTGCTCACCAGTTAGGCCCTCTTGAACAGTCAACGAACAGCTGCACACTGAATCACCCAATCTTGAACCACGTGTTGTAAAATGACAACCCAGGATGTCACTACCCAAATATGGGGTCTTACTTACACCCAAATATGGTCAAAAATGCAAATTTTATAGGGTTACGCAGAATTTGAGGGGTTTTGCCCACATTGCGCTTCGTTATAATCTGCCGCCGAGTTAACCTCGCTTCTTAGCTCGGTTGCCTCGTTGGCAACAACAAGTTATTCTTGGTGCGGATCACTGGCTTTTGGCCCACGAAACATGCATATTAATGACTTGAGGGAAAACTAGCTTCTATTAGCGTTCGAGCCAATATTTCTTCTGCGTACACCATTCATTCATTTAGATGGCCGTAAGTCCTTTTCTTTCGATCATTTTTTGGCCTGATTCTGGCATTTTTTTAAAACCTGGTTTTTACCTGTCGGCAGAAAAACAATAGTAATGTGTTGGTAGTGGTGGGAAAACAATACAATTGTGATAATGGTGGTGGTGGTGGTGGTGGGAAGGAAAAATGGAAAGATGGTGGAAGTGGTGGTGGAGGGAAAATAATAGGTGGTGGAGTAACCTAAGATCAGAGGTTATTATTATTATCATATTTTTTTTATTTTCTATTTTTTTGCTTCTTTGCTTCTTTGGCTAAAGAGTGGAAAAAAAAAAAAAAAAAAAAAAAAAAAAACAAAAAAAAAAAAAAAAAAAAAAAAAAAAAAAAAAAAAAAAAAAAAACAAAAAAAAAACAAACTTATAGCTAAAAACGCGTAACTTTTTTTGTACCGCATTAGCACTCACTTGATCTTTAAAATTAAGACTAATTTTTACTATGCTACTATCATTATTGTATATTTATGCTTTGTTCGAAGAAGAATTTAGAAAAAGTAACTTAAAAAACAAAAGAACTACAAGTAGGGAAATAGTGTAGATCGAGGAGGTCGACGAAACCTCTAATNTCATCTTTTTGACTTGTTGCAACAGTGTACCAATTTTGTCGGAAAATCTTTAGCAGGTTCTTTTACTCGGAAATCGCTTTGATAGGAAGGTATATTGCATAAAGCGTACTTATAACTAGTCATAAGCACCAGGTTATTAAAGAAGGATTTGATGACTTCAACCTTCCGTTTTTTAAAAGAAAAATTATAGTCCTTACAGACTAGCTGCCAAAACTAGAAAGCTTAGAAATAGCCACTATAGAAGACTATGGAAAGATACTCGAGGGAAGACCTTGGCTATCAGTTTGGAGTAGTCTGAGTATCAGGCGTTTCTGGTGGGTGGAGGGGGTGTGGGGGGGGGGGGGAAAGGAAAAAGGGAAAAATGGGGGAAGGGGGGGGGGAGGAAAAATAAAAGGTGGTGGAGTAACCTAAGATCAGAGTTTTTTATTTTTATCTTATTTTTTTTTTTTTTTTTTTTTTTTCTTCTTTGCTTTTTTGGCAAAAAAGTGAAAAAAAAAAAAAAAGAAAAAAAAACACACACACACACTCAAAAAAAAAAAACACACACACACAAAAACACAAAAAACACGAGCATACGAGCATAAAGGAATGACAGGAGAGGGGGAGGGAAAAGAAGGAAACGCTTGCCCGCAAGCCCCACGATTTTGAAAAACTTCTGATTGGTGCGGTGCTAGCTGGTAGTGTTGATTACTTAGCACTCGAAACATCAATCAATCCAGGTATACTTTGTTTAAGTGCGTCACAGATCTAGTCTCATCTGATTTGTGGTCGCAGATTACAAATGCCTTGGACTGATATTTATTTGAGTCGCGTTTGTGCGAAGGTTTATGAGATCAGAGTTCTTTCAAAGTATAATTGGAGATCGTACAGTGGAGAATGACGGCGTGCGGATCTGACTGGAAAAAAATGGACTAATTGTTGGAGATAACATCAACGTAAATCAGAACATCGGTACTCGACACTTAGCTAAAGCCGCCATGGACAAGCGATTTGTCAGCTTTTTGAAATGAAAATATTCTTTTTGATTATTGGAAATTTAGCGGGATGTGTTGTAGAGAACGTTTCGACACGGGCTGAAGAGCAGCCGCTCTGCAAAACTTATAGCCGGTGGAGTGAATTGTTCCGGACAAATCACTTTTGACGTTTTGACAAGGTTTCAGACGAGATAAAGCCACTCAATAAAAACTGATAAGAAATTCTGTAGCAATCGCTCAGAGTTTCAACCTTCTTTTATCGTAAACGCTTTTTTTATTAAAGTTCTAGCAATCGCCTGGAACGAGTTCTATTAAAGAACAAAGTAATTCAGGGGTAATCGGTTCGTTATACTTCTATTTTGGCGAGCTGTCAATTTACAAATGAACCGAATCGTAAAATATCAAGGGGCGTTTTCCAGAATCATGGGGTTTGCGGGCAAGCGTTTTCCTCTTCTCCCCTACCCTCCCCCTTCCATCTTTGTTTTGCTCCCGTTTTAACTTTCGCGCAATAACTCGATTGGAAACGCTTGCTACGCAGGATAACTGAAATCATCAACAACTAATATTAATGGATGGCGGCTTTGTGGCTATTCGGAACAGCGCAGATCATCCGTATTGTTTCCTATCCAATCAGAAACAAGTCCAGATTCTGCCTTTTTTGCATGTGATCTGTGAAAAGATTGTATCCGTAAGTGCCAGCCTCCCGAAAAAAGATTACACAGATAAAGGGAGAGGGCATGATCGCGGGCTAGTCGTGGCACATGCAGCCCAAACTCTGTGGGAGTTCGTTAGACTTTGAATTTATAAGAGAATGTATGAAAATAAACAAAATACGTCCTAAATTCCATTTCTCGACAAAAATAGAAATAAAATGACTTACCTTGTGTTTGTGTTTTCTTATTTACTGTCTCTTCGCCGCTAGAGCCATTTGGAAGCCGTTTTATCGACGTTTAAGATTGTGAGTTGTACTAACAGTGAGAAAAATTGAAAGGTTGGGGACACTGAAGCCGACCGTTCCAGCTCGAAGCTCCTTGAATTCCATGAAGATGGTCCAAACTCGCCAAAATTGGAGTCTCAGATTTCATACTATAGGACTTAAGTTTTCTTAGAGAGCTAGTTCCGGACCGTCTAGTTGGATTTTCGATCGGAAGGTATGAGGAGAAACGCGAATTTTTCTACCTTTTTGCTAGGAAATTTGAAAGCGGAGCAATGCGATTTTCGGGTGAAAAATCGCTCAGGCGCTAGAGCCCTTTCAAAACATGGATTCCACGCTTGTCCTTCTATTATAAGGAACAGTCAACGGCGAACTCAAACTCCTTCAAAATCGTTCAAAAAACCGCTTTTGAGGCAAAAGGACGCCTATATACCACAGGTAAAGTGGTTCAACGTTTTTTTATCATTGATTTATATGCATAGTAAGCGATATAGCGCTATAGGTGAGGCAGACGGTAAATCTAGTACATTTACTATGAAATAACAATCAGCTACACCAACAGATTGTGTGGACCCCCCGCGCTCTAACTGGATCGATTTTGAGGAAACTCTTATGTCAGTCATTGACTAAACCCCCCCCCCACCCCCCTGTAACCCCTT